AGGACAGATTTAGTGGCCATGACCATGAGCCATGACAAGGTGAGAGTTTTGACCAATGAGATTCCAGATTCACTTGTCCTTGTTCCAAGGCCAAAGCAGTGTATGAATACTGAAGACAGCTAAGGATTCTGGTCTCTCTTCTCTCCTCTACAAGTCTGCACTACCTGCTGGTCCTGCTCTTCAAGCTCCTGATTCTCTTGCTGATCTCTTAGTGCTCTCATATGAATGAAATATGAGAGCACTAAGAGATCAGCAGTGTAAAATGTTGATGTATAGTGATTTCCTGTTGCAAATGTAGGTTGATATAATATTTTTCACCATAAGTATTCATCCTGTTTATAGCTCCATTTCATTCCTGTTGATTTTCATACCGATACTCACCCGACCTGTCAACGAATCCAGAAAGTTGTATTCACGGATAAACGGTTTTTTGTGATTGCATATTCCATATTTCTTTTTTTGTCGTCATTGTTCTCAGTTCCGAATATTTCGAACAATTTATTCAATAACATTCAATGTTTTTTTTGTCAAAATTGCAGATTATCATTATTGACTGACGACTGACACTGACAAGCCAGTTGTAAAATCTTCTTCTTCTTTTCCTCCTGTCCTATGCATCCGGGTTTCTGTGCTTTGTGTCACTTCGGGCGGTGATTTATGTTTCATGAAATTTTAACATAGATGCATGAATAGAAAATTAATTAACCTCACGAGAATCCCGAGATTGAAAAATTAGAAAACCGAAGGAAAAAGAAAGATAAACAATAATTGGATCTGTTAAATTCGTTTGGATCTGTGTTTCCGATTCTCCAGGTAGAGATGATGAAATAGTTTAAATAAATAATTTCCCCGACCTGACCTCAAAATACCAGAGAGTCCTGAAAGATATTTGTTCTGATTCCTGTAATTATCCAGACTAGAAAAAGCAACCAGTATTCTAGGCTAAACCCAGGGTTCGTAATTGAAGCCTACACTCCCTTGGCTACTTATTGATTCCAGGGCGATTCAATACCATTGACCCCTGGTTTATACTGTAGGTACCGAGGTAGGTGAAGTAAACTACCTCAAAAACAATCTGGCGCTCGGAAATCCCCCCTGTCAAATACCAGAGTAGTCTCCTGTCCTGAATAGAGCGTCAAAGTAAGGGCCACAGAATGAGAGGACCCTTACAGATGATCCAGATTTCACCCCTCGTACTTACGGAAAAAAAAATGGAAGCTTTAGCTTCTATTTTTTTTTTCATTCAGATCATCATCATAATATACACTATATACATCACCAACTATGAACTGGAATACCTATATACAATCCATATATCTATAAAATATTTGGAAATCTCCTTACATCCACTCAGGGTATCTACAGTAGGACCTAAATGTAATCCATATATATATACACTATCTGGAATCTTTTCTCACTATTCAGATTGTTCACAATAGGATCTGAAACAGTCAAAAAAAATTATTATTTAAATCTATATACTTACAACGTCTAGATTTCTGAACAGAACGAATCTAATCCAAACGTTGCTGGAACAAAGTGCTCTGGAAAAATTCTTGCTTTCCACTTGCAATTTTTCCGTTGATGACCAGGATTCCCACATTTCCAACAAATTCTTCTAACTTCTGAAAAGTAGAGAGAATGGGAGACAGTGCAAGGCAAGTTTGTTCATACAAGACTATTTCAACTGAGAGTGGTATATCTTATTGAAGCTCATGATCTCCTCAAAACACTAGTGCCTGATACAAAACTTTCATGATTTATATTTGTCCATGCTTACAAATCAAATGAAATATAATCAAACCTTTTGGAAAGTTTATGTGTCATGGATAACGCATCGATAGGCCACAGAACTTTGTTATAAATCCGTATTGATACTGATATTTCATCTTTATTTTCTTGTGAGACTTCATGAGGTATTTTTGACAGTGGTAGGTCATCTGCTATTGGGTTTTCAATGAAAAGTACATCCTCACCGACGTATACCAAATTTGTATCGTCTGCATATAACTCCAAGTGACCAATTAGGAGTTGCAGAGATGATTCGTTGTTGAATATCAGAAGAAGTATGGGCGTGAGATCGATACCTGTGGCACACTACAAAAAATGTGATTAGTTCCTTGGATGAATTCATGCAATTAATCACTTTTTTATTCGGAAGCAGTCATTTTTCATTTGATATTGAATTTTATATACGAACTTCTGGCACTTCCATGGGAGCCTCGATTTCTAAAATTCTAGTTGCTTGTGTGATGGATGATTCACTAGACACAGTTATTCATGTACTATCCTTTGATTTGAGTACCTGCCATAAAAAAATATCTAGATGACACAATTTCAGCCCACAAGATGGTATTAATGAGATCAACAGTTATGATCCCTATATTCAATTCACTATAGAAACTGAGAGCAACCAAAATGCTGTACCCTCTTTGGACACACTTTTCATAACACAGCCAGACAACACAGTGCTTGAAGATTGGTATAGTAAGCCCTGCAACTCTAGACGTTATTTAAATTATGCTTCATGCCACAAACATGACATGAAAGTTAATTTGATAAAGCAAATGATACAACGAGTTATCCAAATCTCTGATACTCCCTTTCATAAGGAATCCTCCAAGATCTTCTCATACGAAATGAATATCCCATTTCCCTTGTCAAAATAAAATTATTCAATACCACTGCAGCAGGAATTGAATATACTGACAATGAATTGTTACAAAATGATGTTATGGTGGCTGATACCCCTTCACTTATTTGTTTTTATGCCTCCTCACCTTATATAAGAGGAATCACACCCATATTAACTGAAATCTTCAACAACAACTTACCTACTATTAAAATAGCAAGCAAAACCAGCTGACCTATCAGAATCATTTACTCAAAACTTAACATTCACTCACTAACGAATGTTGTCTACTTCATTCCATGTCAGGATTGTGACAAACAATATATAGGTAAATCCGAAAGGTCCTTAGCAGATAGGATCTTCTCCCACAAAAGTGATAGTAGACTACATCCGGAAAGATGTGCTTTGGCAGAACATATGTAAACGGAGTATGGATCATAAAATGGATTATGGTGCAGTGACAATCCTAGCAACTGAATCGAACAGCAATGAAAGTTTTTTTATGGATATGGCCCACATATTCCAGGGCTCTAAAGTTAAAAACCAATGCACTGATATCAACCATTTGCGTGAAATCTATTTTCACCTTCTTTCAATTTTTTTTCATGTTCTGGTTTCCACAAAAAGACATATCCTGTATTGTTCAGCGAACATCTTGGAAACCAAGGTAAATAAGGTTGGAATTGGTTTTCTTCTTAAATTTCTGGAGGTTATATGCCTCAATGAACATCGATAATTGCACAATAAATCATTACATAACGAAAATAGTTCTATCCTTGTCAAATTTCAGTTTCCCAATGTTGACGTTTCTCAGAAAATACTCAACCTTATCGTACATTTTACTTATGGACACAATTTTTTCTCCTTATCTTTCATGAACTGGCAACTATAATACTTATAAACCACAATAACACATGCACCTGTCAATTAACATACCCAAATCCTTCATTTCGTGATGAGGAAGAAACAGATATTCCTGACCTGAAAGAATTCGAAAACTTTGAAGAATGTGAAAAATATTACTTGGAAATTTGTTTCACACCAAATTTCAAAATTTGAATTCACAAGAATGAACAGTTGATATTATTTGTACAAATGTTAGTTTCTCATATGTCCACGTATGCAATTTCACACAATATGTCACCTTATGTAAGTAACATGCATGGTCATAGTTTTCTCCAATGTATTCACACTCTGCAATCATTGTAGTATTCCTGATTATGGAAATAAACATTTCCGAAAGCTTGGACGAATTTCAAAAAGTATTGCTAACACACTGCTGCTACTCCCTATAAACACCGGTCTCATTCCTACTGGTCAGCAACGACTTACCTTCCAGATATATATACATATATATAAAAAGAGACAGAGACCTAAAGAAGATACTATTTTGATATTCAAATCTCCTATGGAAATATATGCGTAGGAGACTCATTTTGAATATACAGGTGGTGTGATATTTGTATATTTATTTTTTAGTATTTGTCAAGTTTCGCTTATGAGTTCCCTAAATAAATCCCGTGAAAGCATTGAATCATTCAGAGTTTTCAAGTAAATTATTCAGAAATGTGAGTAAGGGTATGTTCTGAATATAAAGTTTCATCACAAGTGCATTACTTTCCGCATTCATCTCGATAATCACACAATTATCGAACAATATAAAAAAGAGCAGAAATATTTTTAATGGAAGAGAGAATCTGCATAAACGTTACATTGATAGCATAGTCAGCACGAAAAAAAGTTCAAGATGATTGAATTGAGTATAACCCCCGAGATTGTATCATCTTGTAGGTAATCTGGATCACCTAACAGCCCTCAATATCAAGTTTTTTCAGAGTAATAGGTATACCAACTTTGAATTCATCATTCAAAAAATTGTAGAAGAAAACTAAGTAAAACATTGAAACATTCAAAATTTTGAGTCCCTGTATATCGGAAACGAAGCCCTCATGCCTATATGTTCACATGAGCTTCTATCAGATGTGTTTGATAGATCGAATTCAAAGTTCGTCGTGGAATATAGTAAGGTACTTGTCTTTCGTTGAATATACCAGAAACGAGTTCATAACAGATAGAAAATGCGAATTCTCAGAGTATCTCTTCATTTGCTCGAATTTTTATGTTAATGATATATCAGAGAATATTCCTTTCCAAAACCCTCAGACCCTATCAAGGTGATTGAATTTGAACGATGACAATTTGTTATTTACAGACCTGGAATTATAGATTGGTGATTTGGTTTTCTTAATTCAGAATAATTCCTAGCTCTGTATCGTGAACAACAATTCATTGTATAACTGACAAATAATAATTGGTTTCAGACTTGCAACTAGAAGATTCTGGCCTCTATACGTGTTCAGCAACTTCAATGAGTGGTGAAAGTTCATGGTCGGCTTCCCTCAACGTTGTTGAAGGATCTTCAGTACCATTACATCGCAGCCCAGATCCATCAACTTTTCCAATCGCTCCTTGTACCCCTAGAATACTCAATGCAACTGAATCCAGTATAAGTGTAGCCTGGGATTACCAAGAAGATAATGATGGAAGCTTTGTTGGATATACTGTCGAATATTGGAGTCCTGATTTACAAACCGGATGGGTTATAGCAGGACATCGAATACAGCACCCTTACATGGTTGTCCATGAACTAAAACCAGACAGTTCTTATGTCTTCATAGTGAGAGCTGAAAATGCCCATGGATTATCAGCAGCAAGTTTCGTCTCAGATACTGCTAGAACTTTAGCCAATACTAGGTCTCTTCCTAGATCAGAACTTGATACTGCAAGAACAATACTAAGCACAAAACTTATCGAACTCGAAGATGCACGGCCACAGTCTTCCAGTTCTGTCAAACTGTTCTGGAGCTTCTCTGAAAGTGATTTCGTCGAGGGATTTTATATTAGGTTCAGAGAGTTCTCAGGTGGATCACACAATTATAATATACTCACTGTCTTGAATGTCGAAGCGGAAATCTATGTCGTCACAAATTTGAAGAAATTCACGAAATATGAATTTTTCATATCGCCCTTCTTCAAATCTATAGAAGGACAACCTTCGAACTCACGTCATGCTCAGACACATGAAGATATACCTTCAGCACCACCAGACAGTATCACAGCTGGAATATACAATGAAACGGCCGGTTGGGTGAAATGGTCAGCTCCCCCACCTCAACATTGCAATGGTGTTATCATCGGTTACAAAGTTCAAATTAAAGGAAATGTCATTCGATCTATGACCTTGAATGCCAGCACTACGAGTATATTGATAAGTAATCTAACTGCTGGTGGTATATACAATGCTAGAGTGTCAGCATTGACTATTGCAGGGCAAGGTCCATATTCTAATATTATTCCATTACTTACGGCCTCAAGAGCTCAGAGCCCAAGAACTTTAGGTCCTTTGGTGCCACTAGTACGAAAAACATGGTTTGTGATACTTCTAGCAGTACTGCTATTACTTTTACTAGCTGGAAGTGGCGGGTTACTGTATTTGAAGAGGAGACAATCTTTGAGCAAGCAGTTGGGGCACCTCAATGTACCCGTAGTCAATGCTTCTCAACTGAATGCCAAAGAAAGCTTGTGGATTGATAGAGGATGGAAAGCAAATGATTGTGATAAAGATTCCTCAGTGCCTCTTGCTGCGCCAGCAGACTATGCTGAAGTAGACACAAAGAATTTATCGACTTTTTATAACTGCAATAAATCATCGGAAAACCCTTCGCCATATGCCACAACGATAATTCTTCCACCACCAAAATGGTCAGAGATCATTCCACCCCCACCTAATCATTTACCACCGGATTTTTCAAGAGAGAACCTGTCAGTACCGCATTCACGAGGTTATGGCAGTACTTGCAGCGGTAGTGCCAGTGGATATGGGTCTCATGCTGTAAATACTCCTCCCAAGTGTGGTAAAATTCAATACCCTAGGGTACGTTCATGTGCTAACTGTGATGCTCATTGTTCGTTAGCTAGTGGAAGCTCAGGGCATAGATCTAGTAATAAGGGTCATTGTAGTGATATTATTTATAATTGTGATAGTAGTAAGATTTGGTTCAACCAACATTGGGATGATGGTGATGCTGATTGCGAGAGTGATAGACACTCCTGCTCTAGTGGTCACAATACCACGTGTTCATGTAGTGAATCATCTTGCTTATACGCTGAAGCTGGACCTTCTGATAACTCACGACCTGTAGTTCTATGCCAGCAAACGAGTGAGAGAGTTTAGTGACACTTATCGGATTTTATTATTTATTTTTAGAAAGGACAAACATATCTTATGAGTGAAGTGTATAGGTGCAGGATTTTCGACGGGATTCTGATATTGCTTGAGAAAAGTCCATTATCATAAACAAAAATATATTTTTTAGACTGAATATCATATGATGAACTGACGTCAAAGTATGTGATCTGTCTGAGGCGCTTACATTCGCTAGATAGCCGACGCAGAGGTGCTGTCGGTTCGTATCCGGCGTGACTGAGCATATTTGATAATAACTTGTGATATTTTGTTCTCATCCTGGCGGAACCTCAGCGCCCTAGAAGTGATTTTGAGTCCACTTTGAGCTGTAGGTCTTGCTCTCCCTAACTCCGTATGAGTTCATACTGCTTGAGAGTTGGTTCCTAATTTGGAAATAGCGATATACAAAATGAATAGAAGTTTATCACAAAATGTGCAAAAGACGAATATCAACAGATATACAGGCTGAACTGTTATACTTTTCAGATATCCATATACACAGGGTATCCCAGGATAACGTTCTCATACTCCAAGAGGTAATTCTGAATATGGAAATGAAAGAAACTGTTGCCATCAACGAACCCTTTGGTACCATATTTTGTGATTCTAGGATGAATGATAACAAAGCTAATTGACGAAAAGTGCATACCCTTTCTTCAGATGGTTCTAGCTCCCTCAGGGATCATTTCGCACACATGTTGATAAAAACAGTTGTTCTCATTTAGATCTGCAGAATCACGTCCTGGAGTGAACTAACGTTACTCTGTGACAACCTCTGTATACTCACAGTTGTTGTTCGATTTCAGGAGCAGAGCAGATGAATTTTCTCATTTCATGACTTCGGAAACTTCATTTCAAGTTCACTGCTTGGCTAACCTTTGTTGTGTGTTTCGTCACCAAGCAAGTAATGTCGATATGAGATTGCAAATTTGGAGGATATATGTGGCCATCGCGGAACCACACGGAAAAATGGTTTTATTGGCCGCTTGAAGCCGTCATGGACTCACATGTTAGTCCGTCATTGAGTATAATTTAGCTCCTTAGCGACTTCTTGTATCTATTCAAGAGACACGGAAGCGTTTCGGCTTGGCCAGATGTTCTAGAAACGATACTTGGCCTATGCTTCTGACAGTTCAAGCCGGACTCACATGGCTCATACTATTCTTAATTGGAAGTGAAATGAATTTGAGTTCTGTTTTTTTCAGAAGATGCAGATAACAAGTGAGTAATGTCAAAAGTCAAGGTGAAAGTGAATGATACCTTAACACGTGAAAATTCTCTTAGTGCATATGCAATAGTGACAACTTGTATACTATTCAAGACAAGGAAATGAGTAATTTATATTTCTTTATGTTCTGGTTCCCACGAAGAGGAATATCCTGTAATGTTCAGGAAACATCGTGAGAACCAAGAGAAATGAGGTGAGAATTGGTGTTCTCCTCAAATTTCTGGAGGTTATATGCTTCATGGAACACCTCCCTTGGCAATGTATTCCAGAGCCTCGCTGTTCGTTGGATGAACGAGTCATTGAAAAGAGAAAACAGGTTTCCAAAGTGACCACGACGGGGTGCGAAGCCTCAACTCGACGGTTTGATCTCGTGAGGAGTGCCAAGGGTCGAACAATTGTTGATATTTCAGAGACATTTCACAATGAGAAAATCTATGAAAAAGAACCAGAACGCCAATTTTTTTACAGTGTTCAAGAAAAGTGAGTGACTTTGTGAGCGAAGCATCACTCACGAGACGAATTGCTCTTTTTTGGACAGAATCCAACAGTTTCAGGGTATGTTTGGGTGCTGCACTTCAAATATGGAAACAATATTCCAGTACAGGTCGGATCTGTGCCCTATAGATTATGAGCAGCTGACTGGAAGTGAAATAGCTCCTGGCCCATAACAGAAAATCAATTTCTTGGTATGCACTTTTAGCAATTGATCTCACGTGATTTTCCCAAGAAACGTTTTTGATGAAAGTAATACCAAGCATCGAAATGGATGTCTTCAAAGGTATGGTCACTCATGAAAAGTTCATGTTGGGCAAAGTGAGATCGGCTTTCCTAGAGAAAAAGCATGCTTGTGTTTTGTCTGCATTGAAATCTATCAAGTTATTGAATCCTCATTCGAGAATTGTTGCCAAGTCCATATTTATGTTGTCCACATTTCTTCTTCGTTCGTTTCTGATTTGCCTGGCTAGTATTGGAGCTCCGGAACCACAAAAATCTTTGTGTTCCCAATTATGTACACCTACCACCATCCACCTGGTCCAGTCGATTTCAGATTGATAACCATTGGTGAACACAGCACTTGTCATTATTGACTTATTCACAAATCATAAGTGACTCATTCACTTGTAATCAGTGACTTATTATTAGTGACTTATTTATTTGTGATTATTAACTTATTCATTTGTCATTAGTGACCTATTCACATGTTATAAGTGAATTCCCACTGTGCAAGAACTCATACTATTAACGTTATTCCATTTTAACCAAGATACGTTGTTACGTTGTGAATTTGGTGCTATTGACATCTCAAAGATTATCTTAGAGTCGTTATATGTCCATCAACAGTACAATATTGCAGGACGTAGCAAGTAAGTTGAGTAAGAGTCGAAACTGATACGTGTCATGAAACAGCTTCGTTACAGTGAAAGAACATTCTCAAATAATATTTGCGATAACGCATTTATGTCCCATGTCTTCATTTCGGAATGTGAAAAGTACATATCCCTGGACGATTCCATAACATTCCTGTTTCATTATTGTTGACTCTCTTGTGACATTACCAGGATCTTTCTAGACCAATATCCGTGAATTCTGAAAACTAGTACTGGTATAATCACATATAGCTAGATTTTATCACACTGGGTTTTTCATAAGATGTGGGACGCATCCTCTCATTCCTCCCACTACAGAGAACGATAAATAGGTATAATATGAAGCAAACTTGGTTCAATCATCTCAAATGTATCGAAAGAAATAAAAAATTGTAGGTATTTTCAACAACTTGGAAACAAAAGAGTTCTGGTCAATTATTTGAAGGATCATTCATTATTGTTTGGAGCTGCCCTATCACATCTTGATATGCGTCCCATATATTTTTAAACATCCAGTATATATTTTCTGGCTTAAAAATATACCAAATAGTTTACGAATTCTGCGATCGGTCCAGAAATGACCAAATTCACAAAAGGGAACTTTTATGTTGGATCACCCTGATATTCACTATAGTCAGCTCCATTGCTATTTACCTACTTATCACAGAGAAAAAAAGAATTCAGAAATGTATTCAATCTATGTATGTAAGGTAGAAATACAATTGAAAATAAATGGATATTTGATTGACTAATTATCCTTTCACGTATGTCACTTCAGTTTTATGATTTTATGGACGAATCTATTTCAAGGCTAAGGATTTCATGAAATGCACCTGAAACACCAAACAATTGTGATACACAATATCAGCATCAAAAATTCATATCATCCTACCTCGATTCTACCTCGATTAGTTTCCTTCCTGATGGTGTGTTCTTGATTCTCGATACTTCCTCCCTCCTCTGTCGCAGTGGGTGGATTTTAGAGTGTTCTAGCTCAATGTAAGAGCCGATTTTCATGTTGTCATAATTTTTCCATACGCCTTCCAAGACTAAAGGACTAACTGATTCTTGCGTCCTCCAAATGTCTTTATTTTTGATTGAATGAAATCCCAGATACTTGGATTCTGAAATATATACCATACCTGAGTAGGAGATTCACATTACTCACTATATGCATTCAACTTTTTCATACCTAAACTTCCCAGGCAAACAGCAGATGTGTTTTCCATCATTTCTACTAAAGTTGGTCAGAAGGTAGGTTTGTCCAGAGCTCACGCATGTTCTAGTAATGTAGGTATTCATCAGGTTCCGAATAAACTTCATAAGTACTGACCTGTAAACAATGTGGCACTTGAAGACATTGATATATTCCAATGAAAGCTTCCGCCCACGCCCAACGCGACCACTTTCACTGTCCACGGCTCCGTTATGATCTGAACATTTGTGAAGTATACATGCGTTCTCGCTAGTACAATCAGAATTTCAAGTGATGCAAGTGCCCTTCTGCTATATCATATTCGTGAAATTTCTTAGTTCGTATGCCGCGCTCTGAGCTGTGAGGTATTGATTTCTTGATCTGTTATTATTTTGAAGAAGATAATGAAATATATAACTCTCTCAGAATAGTACATGATTGTTGACATTATATACAGGATTCTATATTCCACTTCCGATGATACTTGAAGTGGAAGAAAGTGACGTTCAATAAGTATGGAAGTTGATTTCAATTTCAATTTCTCATCCACATCACTGAAGAAAAAGAGAGTGTATACAAGTGCATCGGATGGGCAGTTTTTTTTGGCCCATGATCCTGATATACTTGGAATCTAGTGACTCAATATTTGTCGTCACCTTCTTGTGATTTCTCTATTCATCATAGCTATACAATGAAATCTACAAATGCATGAGTTTTTGTATTTTTACCAAAATTATCATTTTTCAGAGAATATTGTATGTGATTTTTCATAGTACCTAGCTAATGACAGGTGAATGCGTCAATATTGACAAGTGGATAAGTCACTGATGACGAGTAAATGGGTCCTAATTACGTGTGATTAGGTCACTAATGACAAGTGAACAAGTCACTAATGACAAGTGAATAGATTAAGTTATTTATCGCGAATGAATGAGTCACTTATGATAATTGAATACGTAACTGATGACAAGTGAATCAATCAATAATAAAGAGTGCTAAGTTCACTAACGGTAATCGATCAGAAATTCAATGAAACAGGTTGATAGTGGTAAGTGTACATTCTTAGAAACACAAATTTTCTTGTGGATATCAACTTGTTTCTTTGTCTCAAATAGTATAAAAGTTTTTACTTGCAACTATTGAATATTCACTTAGGGTGAGTGATTATTTGTTCTTCGTGTATAGAGAATGAAGGAAA